CAAACAAGGTTGAGAACCACTGTGCTAGGATTATTATTAGCTTTGAAAATAAAAGGTGGCCAGCTATGAGCCCCCATGAATATGATGTGTTCCCTGATCTCAAAAGTTTCCCGCCCCTGCTTGTACAGTATTAATCTTGAGAGTTTAGTAAGTACAAGTAATATATAGTTACAGTATTTATCATTGTATTACAAATTGTGATATTAAAATATAAAATATAGCTTTAGTAAAAAAATATGGAAAAGCTTTACATATCAATATTTAGCTCTGTTGATATGCAAAAGTTATCTCATGACGTCATACACTATGGCTTCCTGTTATGTACAGTACGTACTGTATACATAGACAACGTACATACTGTATACGTAAGTATGGCTGGGATGACAGTGTTTGATTGGCCGATTCGCTCACCGTAAGATGCAGGAAACATATCTTGCGGGTGTATTTTACTTTTTATTTCAATTATATCGAAATAAAGTTAGAATATAGGCACTTAATACATGCTGTGTTTTAAAAGCTAAGATCTTGTAACTGCTAAGGTCTTGTTGATGTTATACTGTATTACTGCTCTTTAATAATTAAGCCTTTATTGATGTTATAATGTATTACTACGCTTCAACAACTAAGGTCTTGATGATATAATGAATTACTGCACTTCAATAATTAAGGTTTTATTGATGTTATAATGTATTACTATACGCTTCAACAACTAAGGTGTGGCCAGGGGAACACCTTATATATATATATATATATATATATATATATATATATATATATATATATATATATATATATATATATATATATATATATATATATATATATATATATAAAATCAATCCCTATATCACGCGGACTTCCATATACAAACAATACCTCACTAGTCGGGAATCGAATCCTGGACCTCTGTGTGTGAACAGAGATCGCAACCATCGCGTCACAAGGTTAACAAAAGCACTCCTAGGTTTTGTTTAATTTCACACAAATCCTGTTCATTTGTTGGAGGCTCACGTTGCTTAACAAAGACGAATGAACAGGCTTTGTGTCAAATAAAACAAAACCTAAGTTTGCTTCTTATTGTCCTTGTGGCACGTTGGTAGCGATCCTTGTACACACGCAAAAGTCCAGGGTTCGATTCCCGACCAGTGAGGTGTTGTGTATATATATATATATATATATATATATATATATATATATATATATATATATATATATATATGCAAGTAAATCACTAAACAAGAGTTCCAATGAAGAAAGCGCTTGGGAACTTCTTATATATATATATATATATATATATATATATATATATATATATATATATATATATATATATATATATATATATATATATATATATATATATATACAGTATATATAACATTTTATTTTTATTGATATAGCTTAGTAGGAATTAAATATTATACAGTAGAATTTGCTGTGTCAATTTGTAGGTCGTCGTTTCCTGCCATAAGATGTGAAAATTATAACTAAATTAGGTTAGGTCAGGTATATATATATATATATATATATATATATATATATATATATATATATATATATATATATATATATATATATAATTTTTAACAGGGATTAGCCCACCTGGGTACAGGTCACTGACCCACATCGGGGCCTGGGGGGCAAAAATGTAATAGTAATAATAACAGTAATAATAATAATTAGTTCAAAGTAAATACATTTTTTAATAAAAAACCTAATAATAACAATAATAATAATAATAATAATAGCAATAATAAAGAACCATAAAGAAATACAAAAATGAAATAAAAAAAAAGATCAAAAGTGAGAAACGATATATGTATGTTGGGTTGTCCCGCGTATGGGAAACAATTGAAACCCTGCAATTGTGTGTAAATGAGGCAGAAAGTCAGATCAGCAACCTGCGACTTGGTTACAATTTTCGTGATGCCATATGGCAGCAGGGTCTACCATTAGGCAACACATTAAGCTTCCAATATCTTCCTAGGCAGTAGTATCTCCCTGTTTAATAGCTGCCTACTACCTACCACCTATATAAAGTGACTAAGATAAAATTCGTGTTTCCTAGTCTTTGATGGAATCCATAACCATATTAAGACGTGTGGTTAAAGCTCATTAAATTGGATTAGAAAAAAAATAACCGTGAAAGCAGAAACGGTCTTTAATTATATTTAACATCTTGTTTAATAATAATAATAATAATAATAATAATTCTGTAATTAATAAAAAGGAGAATATATTATTAAGGCCGGGGAAGAAATGTTTCAGCGTGAATATTTAATATTTCAACATTATCAACAACATATACAAGAAAAACCTCATCAGTTCACCTTCACACAATTAAGGGGAGGAGCGCCTACCTGCGTGGCTCATGGATGTCATACTGACCATTTATCAAAGAAACCATGAACCAACCAAACCTAACTAGACCAAATGATTTTAAATGTATTACTGAACTAAATGTTCTGAAGAAGTAACTGTTGTTATGCTTTTGCTACACTTCTACAACTATGATCTCTAAGCGCGTAACAAGGTTAGTAATTACACTATTACATCAACAGTTATAATTATGAGAGATAAAAACTCATTTGTTTAAGTAACTAAGATAAAGTTTAGGTCTATTTGACTCTTTTTTCATGTTATAGAAGGGTTTCGCAATAGGAAAACAACCAAGGAATCAGAACGCGCAAGTTGCCAACCATTACTACCATATTACCTTGAAGCTCTCCTGATTATTGCTTTTACTGTTGTCATAATCAGGGAGCACAGATTATTTGTGCTTACATATTGTACTTGTAGTCACGTTAATTATGCTCTAAAACATATCACCAAACGTAATTATGTAGAAGAATGTGTTTTATTCCTTAAAAATATAAACAAAAACATGTAAAACTTTCAACTTAAATTTAGTTTTAGGGAGTTTTCCTGTTAATTTTGACTAAATACATTTCGTCACCCAGGGACGCCATGTTTCTGCCTTTAACTGTTAACAACGTTTCTCGGCGACCTTTTCATGCCTTCCCAAACCTAAACTACCTAACGTATCGTAAATTAACCTATCAAACCTAACCCAAAATAATATAATTTAGTCCTATGATAGGTATGTTAGGTTGGTTTATCTTATCTACTACAAGTCTTAAATTTTAAGACAATATGACGTCGCCGGGGGGGCAGTGCGTCGATTAGATTTGTGCTCAGGACGAAAAAAATTGCCAAAATAATATGAAAATTTGTTATAGTTTTCTTCTACAGAAAACTTTGGTATAATTACTGCTTATTAGGGGAGAGTGTCGTAGAGTATTGCCATCTTTTAATTGTTAGGTTTAGTTAATTTGGGTCTGGTCACCTATCATAAATCGGCGATTGTCAGCAATGAACGGATGCTCATTATTTAACACGTGGTTCTAAGTAATTCTAAAGCTGAATTATCATCTGTCCGCCACCTGTTTATGGCTAGACACTAAAATCAATAATGCTGATGGGAAATTTTATGTCGAAATTCAATATCCTTCCCATTCACCTTGTGCTTATAAGAGGGAAAGGTGTATGAAGCGCCGCGAGAGAATGTAATCAATTTGCATTTTAACTGAGAAATATTGTTCGTGTTTCTTTCCTTTAAGGATTCATGTTTAATTTAATTTCAGATTATATGTGTGTAATAAAGTGACTTTCCTCCCTAGTTCGTAGAGATAACGAGAAAGAGATAACAGTAAATGTACACGTAAATGCCGTGTTAAATATAAACTGACATAGGTAATACCGCGTTACAACATAAAAGGTATACTGCCGCAAAAGCCGGAGTATATGTCGTTTGAACAAGAAACAATAGTTCCAGATTTGCACTCCAGGGAACTGATGCGTTGGACTTTAATTCACCACAGCCAGCCATAGAACCAAATTTATAACAATGATATGACATTCCTACTTTATTATCGCCATGTCTTGTTACGTCGAACTCTGTGAATAGACGCAACGTAATTATATAAGGAAGCTGGAAAGAATATTTAGGGAAGTATTACACGACAAATTTTAATGTTTTGGAAAATGTGGAAACGTATTGGATATATTTTAATTTTCGTATACAGTACTATAGTTTATTATTGTTACCGGAGCATTGGATATAATTTAGCTATTCATTGAGGTAATCCGCTCTTGATATTGTAATAGTTTGGGAAGACTATATCGGTAACTCCAGCTCTCGTTTCATGCGAAACTTCTAATTGTTGACTCGTGTATTTTCTAATCTCACAATACCCGCCCAAACGTAGTAATATATTATAACAACAAGACCCCAGTTGTTAAAGCGCAGTAAAACATTGCAGCGTCATCATTCATTCCGCTGCTCCTGGTATTATGGTTTGTACTGGCGGCTTGAAGGGCGTATAGCCTGCCTGTTATCCCCTGTAATACAACCCCTTGTTATTATTACCCCCTTACAACCATGCCGAAGGGGGTGGGGTAAAATATGGCAGGACACAAATCCGCTGCACTTATTACCAGATACTATAAACTTAGATGTTATTATAGATTATTATTATTACTAATACTACTAATTATTATTATCATCATTATTATTATTTTGATGGGGATACTGTAATCGGTATGCATATAAGAGTTTATAATCAAGATTTGTCTGTTTGTTATCATTAGGTTTTAAAATAAATTCGACTAAAAATTTTCAGCGGAATTATACAGCCGGGGGGGGACACATTACAGTAATTCTAAATGACGATTGTTGATATATCTACGACCACTATTACTATAATTATATCCCAGAACGCATGCACAGGGTATATAGCAAGGGTGGCCAACCTTTTGTGTGACGTGATCTACTTTTTCCACAGTTACCCTGACGCGATCTACCAGCCTAATATTCACCCATTGCCATAAAATACGCAGATTCGAAGAGAGAGAGAGAGAGTAAACAAATAATATTTTTCAATAATTGTTATGATATATTGTTAACATGACAAAAGCATAAACTTACTTTGCTAAGATGGTTAGCACTGCATGTTGTCTGCCAGCTTTGTGTAATTAGGACTGTAGGCGGTGACTGCTAGCCTCAAGCAAGCATCCAGGTGTTCATCTGACATTGTTGATCGGTATTTGGATTTGATGTGTTTCATGTGTGAAAATGTTGATTCACAAAGGCAGGTTGATCCAAAAAATGCTGTGAGGTACATGGCACATTTTCTGACATTGGGATATTTTTCTTCACTGAGAAGGTTCCAGAAACTTCCTCCTGTTGCCCTGGATTTGATCTGAATATCATTTTTATGCTTCAGAAGCTCATTTTCGACTTCAGATATGTCCATGTTAAATACTGATGCCATTCTAGATGCAATATCTTCAACATTTGTGATTTTACCAAATGGAAAACACATATATGTTACAACAGGTTCTATTGTTGCTACATCTTGAAACCGTCTGTCAAAATATGAGACAAGGTTTTGGTGTAGGCTCGCTGGGCAAGGTTGCCAAATATGATTCTCTCTTTACTTTTGACAAGACTCCTCAATATCGAGTCAACTTTATCATTACCAAATTCATTAATACAAAGTTTAACGTGTATTTGTAAACTTATAAAAGCAAATACCTGCCTAGTTTTAGCCTACAACTGACGACAACTTGCTGATCAGTTTCCTCACCAGGAACCAGCCAGCACTGGCCCATATGAACGCGAACACTTCCTATCAGGTTCCGCCACATACAGCATGGCACAGTCGAAGTTTTTTGTATGTATCGCTCTGATATGTGCATAATGATAATCTATTCCCAGAAAAAAATCTAAACAAATATAATATCCCAATGATTATGAGTAAAATTTGAAGAGGATATTTGTATGGCAGCTTAAGAAGGATGGATCATTAAGTTTAACTTTGCCATGCGATCGACTAAAGAAGATAGGATGGTTCAGGTCGCTGCATCCTTTAGGTTGGATTTATATGTGTTGTCCCTCAATATTGATGGCGCCGTCCCAGGCTGCTTCCTACAGCCGATTGGCGTACTGTTCTACGCTGATATTTTATACTTTATTTTCTTGGGATAATCTTTACCTCATTCTTCTTCTCAATTGCCTTGCATGTAGTATATCTTTCCTTGTCTAATATTTGTTATATTATTAACTAGTTTATCCTATCTTTTATTATTTTGTAGAAAATATTTTTGTTCCTGTTATTGTAAGGTTTCTATATTTAGCCTCTATGTAGAATATATAGTGTTGTGTAGTCTTCTCCCGTTCCCTCACTAATGTCACAGCTTGGATTATTTCATATCTATTCTTAAACTTACAACTATAATAATATAGTGTATATTGTACACCATGACCCTATCGGACATCCCCATTCAATCTTCGGTTGTCGCGCGAAGTTGTGGCGGTGTACATTGTTAAGCTACGTTTATACCTGCGAGAAACGTGTCGCAAGTTCTCCGTCGGACAGCAAACTCAGCAATGTAAACACTTCTGCAAGGACTGTCTCGAGTCCTGTCGCAAGTGTTTGGGAAGTGGTCTGGCGCAAGTGCTCGCATGAGGCGATCTAGACGTGGTAGATTTTTTGTGCAAGTTTAGTGCGAGCTAAACTGTCCTACTGCCAGGATGGCTTCCGGCATTGGAGGTACAGTAGTGAGAACGAAGTTCTCATGGCGAAGAAATGGTCTGACACAGACACTAAAATGTTAATCTCCCTGTATGAGGAAAATTAATTGCTGTGGAACGTTAGATCGGCGGACTACAGAAAAGGGTGAAGAAGCATGAGGCGTTCAAGCGCATAGGCGAAACAATGAATATTGATGCAAATGAAGTTGCTAGGAAAATACATAAAACTTGCGGAGCCAGTTCAACCAAGAATTGAAGAAACTAAAGCAGAAGAAAGGTGGTTCTGGAACAGACGAAGTATATGTGTCAACCTGGCAGTATTTTTCTTCCCTTCTCAGAATCCAATCTTTAACCCAATATTTCCTGTTCCTTTTTTTACCCTTACTACATGGCATGATGCAAGACAAGTAGTGCAGCAGCACATCTCACAGCTCTGCACCGTGGCATGCTCACTATACAGATTGGAGAAACAAAATATCCAAATCAGAGCTTGTGACACTACTAACACTCAGACAATGTAAACAAATCTGCGAGAACTTGCGCTCATTTATAGCCGACAGTAACTCACACCATAGTACTTGCGACATTTTTCGCGCTTTTGGTGTAAACAGCCTCCGACAGCGCTCTCGCAAGATCTGCCACACGTCACTTCCAGGTGTAAACAGCTTGAGTGCACTTGTTTGTTTGTGTTCGCTAAAGTTTACCTCTCCACTCTATATCTGGTTTCTATCGTGCCAAATAATCTCGTTAAGTGTAGAAACGGTAAACTTTTGGCTGGAGTTGACAGTTCTACCTGGTACTTATCGAAGTCATTTGGCTCAAGCAAGTCCTCACCAGTTGGATGATAGACTTACTCCGATTATAGTTGTTGATTACTATTAACTAACCTAATAGGCGCTTAAAGACCTTAGTTATTGAAGCAGAGTAATACATTATAACAGGAACAAGGCTTTAATTGTTGAAACGTAGTAATACATTATATTATTATAACATCAACAAGACTTTAATTGTTGAAGCGTATTAATACATTATAACATGAACAAGGTTTTAATTGTTGAAGCGTAGTAATACATTATAACATCAACACGACTTTAATTGTTGAAGCGTAGTAATACATTATAACATCAACACGACTTTAATTGTTGAAGCGTAGTAATACATTATAACATGAACAAGGTTTTAATTGTTGAAGCGTAGTAATACATTATAACATGAACAAGGCTTTAATTGTTAAAGCGTAGTAATACATTATAACATCAACAAGACTTTAATTGTTGAAGCGTAGTAATACATTATAACATGAACAAGGCTTTAATTGTTAAAGCGTAGCAATACATTATAACATGAACAAGGTTTTAATTGTTGAAGCGTAGTAATACATTATAACATGAACAAGGTTTTAATTGTTGAAGCGTAGTAATACATTATAACATGAACAAGGCTTTAATTGTTAAAGCGTAGTAATACATTATAACATGAACAAGGTTTTAATTGTTGAAGCGTAGTAATACATTATAACATGAACAAGGCTTTAATTGTTAAAGCGTAGTAATACATTATAACATGAACAAGGCTTTAATTGTTAAAGCGTAGTAATACATTATAACATGAACAAGGTTTTAATTGTTGAAGCGTAGTAATACATTATAACATGAACAAGGTTTTAATTGTTGAAGCGTAGTAATACATTATAACATCAACAAGACTTTAATTGTTGAAGCGTAGTAATACATTATAACATGAACAAGGCTTTAATTGTTAAAGCGTAGCAATACATTATAACATGAACAAGGTTTTAATTGTTGAAGCGTAGTAATACATTATAACATCAACAAGACTTTAATTGTTGAAGCGTAGTAATACATTATAACATGAACAAGGCTTTAATTGTTAAAGCGTAGCAATACATTATAACATCAACACTATTAATTATTGTATGCGTCTGCAAGTAATTTCTCCTAATGTACAGTTAAGTCAACGACAAAAGTCCTGTCGCCTCTCCTGCTGCTCCACGAACCCTGATATTCTCAGACTCGCGAACCAGAAGACACTGATGCATTATTCTGTCCATAAATGCTTCGGATTCACAAGTCTAAATCTCGGGGCTCGTGGCTCAGGAGGAGAGGCTACTGGACTTTTGTGGGTGACTGTAACCATGTAGTAATTTGTAAATATAATACCGTACCAGGTCTCTGAGTCTCGCAGCTTTGATATACAAGTACAGTATAACCACGCGGGAGTGAAGGCGTTCTTGGGTATAATGCATGGTCAGGTAGGCGAACGAATGTGTTTAGATATTATTATTATTATTATTATTATTATTATTATTATTATTATTATTATTATTATTATTATTTTTATTATCATTATTGTTGTTTTAGGCTGTTAAGGAGATTTTCATAATAATAATATACCGGGTAATATTATTCTTGTTTTTATCATTATTATTTATTGTCGTTATTGTTATTATTATTATTTATGTAAACAAAAATGAATAGTTAAAAGGCAAAAGAGCACCAAGACGGTCGCGTCTACAAGATGGCGGCGGCCAAGAGCGTCTCCATGTTTTGCATCTTCGTGTTGTTCCTCCTTGACTTCATCATTTTACCAAATATCACATATACAGTGTATCTCAAAAAAATTTACCCTAGTATATTGAATTTTTTTATGAGCAACTTTGAGTATTAAAAGTTTCTAACAATCGAGAGGTTATGTCCTTTAGTATTTGAGACAGAACTCGTTAATAAAACACTAATGGTTTATTGGGGTTGTAGGAATAAGAGCTTCCTTGTAAAATATTTCTGATGATTAGTACAACATGGAGTGCAGCGGTCGAGTGAGTACAGTACAGTACTCACCTCCTGGTCGGTGGGTTGATCCCCGGGTACTCCCAGTTCACCCAGCTGTAAATAGGTACAGTGAGAGAAGGAAGTACAGTATCTTCCCAGTTGTGGCCGAAGTATAATGAAACTTGACCACCCAACACAGTGAATGGTGTCACTGGTGACCCCTTTCCGAGGTTCCACAGGCCTGCAACTGTTTATGGGCTCCCCATATGCGTGAGTCTTGTCGTATGGCTCAACCGTTCAGCGATGTATTGGTCAAAGCCCCGGGAAGATGATTCATTCTTTCACTGCATGCCTACAGTAAGTTTACAACCTGGGGAAGTGAGTACCGGCCATGCTGCCTCCTTGTGTGGGACCCTCTTTCACTTTTGTTAGTGCAATGTAATTCAGTCATTAGTACACGGAAGTTAATTAGGCTGGGCAGTACAGGTAGCCAAGTGCGGCAGTTGCGGGATGCTAATATTAACATTGCAGCATTAATAGCCTCGTTCTCGCTGCAAGCTGACGTGTACTGGCAATTATCGACAAGTACCGACATCTACCGACATTTACCGATAAATTCCATCATCTGCCGATATCTACCAAGCTACTGAAATTTGCCGACAATTAACGATAGCTACCGACAGTTACCGACATCTACCTACATTTACCGACATCCACCGACAGGTACCGATAGTCAGGACCATAACTAGGGGGAGGGGGGTTAATGGGGGATGAGATAGGCCCACATACTCTGAACTGTTGTCTAATGTCCGTCGTTAAAACGCTGTTATGTGGCTTTACAAATAAGGAAGAAATAACGCTCCGACTACCGACAGCATCCGACAACTACTGTGTGTGTGTGTGGGGGGCAGGGTGATGTGTGTGTGTTGGGTGGCAGGGTGATGTGTGTGTTGTGGCAGGGTGATGTGTGTGCTGGGGGGCAGGTGATGTGTGTGTTGAGGCAGGGTGATGTGTGCTGGGGGCAGGGGTGATGTGTGTGTTGGGGGTGTGTGTGTGCTGGGGGCAGGGTGATGTGTGTGTGTGGGGGTGATGTGTGTGTGAGTGTGTGTGTGTTGGGTGGCAGGTGGGTGATGTGTGTGTTGGGTGTGGGGTGATGTGTGTGTGTTGGGTGGCAGGTGATGTGTGTGTTGGGTGGGGGTGATGTGTGTGTTGGGTGTGGGTGTGTGTGTTGGGTGGCAGGGTGATGTGTGTGGCAGGGTGATGTGTGTGGGTGGGGTGATGTGTGGTGGGGTGGGGTGATGTGTGTGTTGGGTGGCAGGGTGATGTGTGTTGGGGTGGGGTGATGTGTGTGTTGGGTGGCAGGGGTGTGTGTGTGTTGGGGTGGGGTGATGTGTGTGGGGTGGGGTGATGTGTGTGTTGGGTGGCAGGGTGATGTGTGTGTTGGGGGTGGGGTGATGTGTGTGTTGGGTGGCAGGGTGGTGTGTGTTGGGGGTGGGGTGATGTGTGTGTTGGGGGCATGGTCTTAAGTCGTCAACATGCTCGGCTGGTCATCTGTTCCTGCCATCCTCTCAAGCAGTTAATGGATAAACTAATTACTCTACCTGAATTACTACACTCCCTTCCCTCCCTTCCTCTCTCCCTCATTCCTTCTCAGTACCTGTCACCACTCCCCTCCCTCCCTCCCTCCCTCATTCTACAATGCTTTCCACCAGCTCATTACACCTGTCCTAATGAGCCTAACCCCATCAGAAAGATCACTTCTTGCACTCCCTCCGAGACTGGGAGGAATGAGACTAACCAATCCGGAGGAGATTGCTGCCACTGAGCATCAAAACTCAGTTAAGCTCACGGCAGCCCTCACGGACTACATAGTAGCTCAGAACTCAACAGGGGAGGTGGATACCAGTGAAGTAAACAAGATCCGAAGGTCCATTACGACAGAACGGCCAAAGTGACAAGTTGCAGCAACTATTACTGCAAATACCAGAGAATGTGAAGAAGAAAAAAAAGTAGCTATAGCGCAGGAGGTGGGCGCCTCAAACTGGTTAACTACGTTACCGATAAGGGCAAATGGTTTCAGTCTCAATAAACAAGAATTTACAGATGCCATTGCTCTAAGGTACGGTTGGCCAGTGGAAGGTTTG